AAAAATAATTTTCGAATGTTTTCTTAGTTTTGTCCACGTCTCCATCGCAACCTTGTAAAAATGTTTGAATGAAAGTACTCCCTAAATAAAAAAAAAAAAAGTAAAAGAAAGGTCTTTTATTTTTTATTATTTTTTTTTTTTTTTTTTACGATGCGACGGGCAAACAAACAAACAATACAATATAATACGTCACGCGCGTTTCATAATAATTATAAAATGATAATAATAATAATATATATATATATATTAAATAAAAACTTATCTAAATCTTGGGGTAAAAATTTACGAGAACTTATCCAATCTTTTATTTCGTCAATTTTCTCTTCGTTTTTTTTATACATATTTTACTATATTTAAATAATAATAATAAAAACATACATATTATTATTATTATTTTATATTATTATTATTATTATTATTATTTTAAGTAAAGTATATTTAAAAGGAATAAAATAAAATAGTCACAATTTTACATCATTATTAAAAATTTTTAATTAATTCGTAAATACAAAAACAAAAAAAATAAAAATAAATAAATAAAAAAAAAATTGTTTTCACATTTGTAAAGTTGGCAACGTCGCGACGTTGGAAAAAAAAAAATTGTTTAAAAATTGTTTTTACAGTGTGAAATGTTTTGAAACGTTTTACGCGACGAATGACTTCACGCCATTGTGATTCACACACGCATGCGCACGTTATAAACAAAGATGGCGGAAGGCGAGAGCGAAGCGAAAGACAAAATTCAATTTAATAAAAAGAAAAGGATTAAAAATAGGAGGAAATCGTTGCCGACGAGTGACGATGACGCAGGAGAAAATGAAGATGATGATGATGATGATGATGATGTTCGGTAATTAAACGATTAACGTAAATTATTTTGTGTTTGTTTGTTGTTTGTTTGTTGGGTGTTGCATGACGACATGTGATTTTTTTAATTTTAATTTTAATTTTTTTTGTTTGTTGTATGTGAATTTCCAGCACGAAATTGGAAGAAATGAAAATGTTGCAAAAATTAAGAGCGAGACCGAACGGTGTCAACATCGTGGGTTTGGCATTGGGTAGGAAAATCGGCGAAGAAGAGGAAGAGGATATAGATGTGAAAGATCCGTTCAAAACGAAATCCGGAGGAATGATTAATATGAAAACGCTCAAAAGTGGTAAAATAAAAAAAATGGACGATGCTTACGACACGGGTATAGGAACACAATTTTCAGCTGAAACGAATAAGAGAGACGAGGA